TATATATATATTTATATATATAAATATATATATACTATATGAAAGAAAATAAATAAGAAAGAGAAAAAAAATATTTTAATACATTTTTTATGAAATTTTCGACATAACAGAATAATTATTTCTGTTGTAGGTATTACCCAAGACGCGTCTGGTCTGCCCGAAAAGAAACGGGTTTGCTGCTATCATTGCAATAAAACATTTAAGACGGAGCTGATACTTCGTACACATATTAAAAATACGCACATGGAAAAAGACCCGATGAAATGCACCGACTGTGAGGCTATTTTCACATCCGATGTACGTCTGCGTCATCATTTGATGGTTGCGCACAATCGTCTCGAGGGTACTTTGGCATGTCCTCACTGTCCAAAACGATTCGTGAATCAATTACGGCTAAAGACTCATATGATCTCCCATTCTGAGGAAAGACCATATACTTGCGAGATTTGTGGTTTCAATTTGAAGACAAAAATTCAGCTGATCAAGCATCATCAAAACCGACACAGCGACGAGAGACCCTTGCAGTGCAGGTAAGTGAATTATTATATTTGTTATTAAACGTTTGTAGCAGGAAAAAATTGATTCTTTGAATTTTTACATATGAGATTATTAAATTATTTTATTCTTCTTGGAATATGCATGTGATAAATAATCCGTTGTAACTTTTTCTACAAAATATAAATATATTGAAAAAACGCGCGATTAAAATACATGTCAAGTATTATTATGCATTCAACAAGGAAACTGTCTAATATGTCTCTTTCTCTCTCTTTCGCACGCGCAATTGAATACGATTTAATAACTGTTTGGAAGATTGTAATTCGTAATCGTTTGCGTCTTATCAAAATGGAAAAGTTAAGAATAATATTCATACATTATATATATATTTTTTAATTTACATTATCATATTTATTTATTGTTTATTCAATATTACAGATACTGTCCTTGGCGATGCAAGCAAGTGAGTGCTCTCGTATGTCACGAGCGTACGCATACCAATGAACGCCCATATTCGTGCAGCGTATGCCGGCAACGTTTCAAATATCTCGGCGACAAAAACAAACATGAACGTCGTCACGAAAGTCTCGGTGGTGCAGGCTTCAAGCGTATTGTACCTGGAAGAAATGTCAAACAGAAGAATTCGTTGCGTGTTCGCAATTCCGACGAATCTGATCAGGAAGATTCCATCAAGCGCCCGGAGAGTCAATTGGGTATTACCGAAGAGCAATTCGAGGAACAACAGGAAGAACAATATGACAATTTACCGGAAGGACAAATAGTCAAATTCGAAGAAGTTAAATTTGAAGCTGGAGATCAATATGAACAGGTGTATGAGCAGGTAAGACTCTTACTTAGTTTTATTTTATGAATCTTATTGATTTTTTAATTTCTTTCGCGAATTTAATTGTGTTTCTCTAGGATTATGAAGAAACTTCGAGAGAAGCATCGGAAGCTACTGAATTAATCATGAACATAGAAGATTCCAATATGTATACTGAAGAAGTTACGGCCGATAGTATAGAGTCAAGTGCAGAGATCATAACAGATGAAATTATGACGAATGATATTTTGCAATCTGGCACTGCGGTGGTGTTGCAAAGCGAAGATGACTCAGGGAAGATTCAAGTGATACCCATACCAGTGGTGCTATCTCTGGCCGATGCAAATACTGAAGTTAATCTCCCGACCGCGTCAATCATGTATAACAATTAGATTTTTCTTGACAGAACTTTCTGTAAATTAAATGTATTGATAAAAGATTCAAGAATGTTAACTCCAATCTTATTTTTGAACTCTATGTAATCTCCTAATTGATTATGACAAGATTGAATATCATGGTATATGCAAATAATATCACGATATAACAGAAAAAAATATTTTATTTTTCTATCTACTTGAATTCTATCCAATTGAATTCTCATTTCTATTATGTAATTATAGGAGAGAGTTCCGTTAAATCAGAAAACTCTATATAACATTCCTTAAATTTGTGATGGAGTTTTCTAGATTTCAGATTTTTCAAATTTTCTATTCTCAATTAGAATTTTTTAAATCTTTATGGGTTAAAAAAAATAAATAAATATACATATATATTAAATTGTTATGAAAAAAATTATTTTTTTATGCTAAAAGAACACCCCTAAATTTTTATTAAAAAAATATTAAGATTTAGAGATCGCTAGTGATCGATTTTTAAATTAAATTTTCGATTTTTTTAAATACATGTTCAACATAATGCGAAAATGCATATATATCGCAAATTTAATATTATTAATGCAATATAATGCAATATTACGTCGCAAATAATCTAAATTTTAAGCATGATACTCTTATGTTTTTTTGCTTGCTGAACACGATGCAATAAATTTAGCTCTACGATATATGCTTTAAGAAATACAGCCTGATTAATGTAAGCCTGAAAAAATAATCAAATTTCGAGTTTAAGGTTGTTTTTAGCAAAGTTTTACGCGTTCAAATAGGTCCTTGCGTTCCTCAAATTGTAGGTCTATTCAGGTCTATTCACCCAGAACAAAGGTCCAGTTAAATTTTTCCGGGATCTACAGGGCCCCCCGATTCTCTAACTTTGTAACTGCATATACGTTTATCGTTCGATCATCGATGTGCATCTGAGTTTACGAATACGTTTCTCTTACGAATGAGGGTCTGAGCATAGGATTATTTTACCAGACAGATTTAATAAGTTGTAAACGTAAGCAACGCACAAGCTTTGGCGTATGAAGTTGTGAAATTAATGGACACATCGCTATATCTCTTGATAGCGTGCTATCACGTGCTATATAAGCAAAAATAAGTAATCTAATCGTTTGTAAGCAAGTCAAAAATAATCTTGTTAATTGTCCTGAAAGTCTTAATGTGTTACGGCAATCCTGTGCTCAGACTCTGAGTTAAAGAATCGGGGCCCAGAACTTTTAAAAGTTCCCTTTAACTGGACTTATTTGTTTGTAATTGGGAAAGGTGAGAGTGCGTTCTGTTTCACGCATAGTGCGTATATTATATCATTTTTATCCTTGTTCACCGAATATTAAAGAAAGATAAAATGATACATCATGTGCATAATGCGTGAAACTGAATGCAGCCTAATAAATATAAGGCTGGAATCAGATTACGCATTAAAGATTGAAATTAAAGATTGAAATTTGGCCAATCAAAATAATAAGAGCTAAAATTCTTTTATTCTTATTGATTAAATTTCAATCTTCAATGCGTAGTCTGATTCCGAACTTACTAATTGTGTTTTCTATATATTGGGAAAGCTAGAAAAACTCCGCTGCACACTAAGTGCAATTGAATGTAAATTCTACATATTTTCAGTATTAAACTAAATAATTTAATTCTTTTAACATTATAAGGTTATCGTGATAACAAAGAATATGTAACTATAAAAGGGTTAAAATATTTATTAACACTGAAAATATGTGATTTACTTTGCAATCAATTGCATTCAGTGTGTAACTTGCACTAGTGTTGCACTAGTTTTCCGAAAATGCTATAAGGCCGGAATCAGATTATTATTGATTATGTATTGAAGATTAAAGATTGAAAATTGAAATTTGACCAATGAGAGTAAAGGAATTTTAGCTTCTATTATTTTGATTGGCCAAATTTCAATTTTTCAATCTTAAATCTCAATTTTTAATGCGTAGTCTGATTCCGATTATTCGTGATTTCGAAACAAATGTTTTATTATAGTTAAACACATTTTTGTTTTTCAATCACTTGCAACTTATTATAACTTACGTATACGTAACTATTTAAAAAATAAGGCTCCTAAAAAATAAGAGCGAGACACGGGTCCTGTATTCATAGTCAGACTTTATATTTAAAACTCCCTTAAATTTATCTTTAGATGCTCATCAGTAGCCAATAAAATAATTCGTAGAGCATCTGAAGATAAACTTAAGAAAATATTAAATATAAAGACTGACTATGAATATGGGTAAGGCTCTCGCTGTCTGTTTGCTCTTTTGGTATGCGAGAGGCGAGGATAGTCTCTATGGCTCTATCGCTGTGCTTCGATCGCTCAGCGCTCGAAGTGAGCCGAACGCTACGTCACAAAAAGAAACAAAAGTGATGAGAATGATTTCTCTGCGCGCCGGGATCGCCAAGCCGTTATTGTCGCCAAATTAATAAGCCATTTGGTTTATTAAAAAATTTGAATTGCAGGAACTACAACATATAAATTAAAACAACACGAGACTATTAAAACAGTTCATGTTAAAACTGTGCAATACTAAGAAGCAAGCAGAAAATGCATTTATTTATTCGATAGCGCAACATTCCAAAATCGGGACAGTCTATCTCTCGTGAAATTTTCATAACAATGGAATCCATACATAATATGTATTCACTGATATACAGGATCTACAATATATATAACACCGAATCCGAAGTGCGCTGATGATTATAGATCTCTTAATCATCAGGTGGAGTCATTTTTCGAATCTTTAAATGCTAAAATCGCGTATATCAGCGCAAGCGGGATTGAACTCAGATCTACAAATTGCGAGTCAATCACACCGAGTGACGAGTTACTCGATGCCTTAGCAAGCAGAAAATGCAGAACAAAAATTAGAAACTAAAGACCGTTAATGTATGAACTAATACGAATACGAAGCCTATATCTGACTTGGATCTTTAATTCCTTATATATAATTTCGCGTGAATTTATACCTGCTAATATACGTAGTCCCCCCAAACTGCGCGCCGAACAAAATGATTAGAAAGATGGAAGACAAATACATATATTGGAAAGCTATTATTAAAGTGATATATAAGGTTCATAGAATATGCGATCAAAAAATGCAAAATATAAGATTCCTACGGTAGAGAAAAAAAAAATGTTTATTATAAATGGTTATAAATTTTATTTAGAAAATGAATCAGCAGTTAACTTATATCAAATATATATTATATTTTTAGAAATAAAAACAAAAAGTCATAATCAATCATTAAAAAATTACCAAAAAAATAATATCAATAAATAGAACTTTTTAAATTCGACAATTTTTATCTGAAACACACTTCTGTAAAATATATATTTTTCGTTATTTTTTTTATTATTTACATTGTGTGTAAAAAGTACCCGGGATTTATCATTTGAAAGACGCGCGTAAAAGTATTGCCACAATTTTTTTTCTGTAAGTTGGTACCACTGTACTGAGTTATCACTTATCACGCGGAATTTGAGCGCGATCTGTCACTCCGTGTGTTGACAGCGGCTTTTTGTCAATCATACTTTTGAGTGCTCTGCGATTTTTACAATGGAAAAATCAGTTGAACAAAAAGTTTGCCTTAAATTTTGTGTGTCAAACGAAATTTCGTGTGCCAAATCACTGAAAATGTTGCAGAAGGCCTACGGTGAATCGTGCACGTCAAATAGGTATATGAATGGTATAAAGTATTCAAACAGGGCCGAGAAGTGGTAATTGATTTGCCTCGTTCTGGTCGATCTTCAACGTCTACGAACGACGAAAACAAGAAACTGGTGTTCAAGAATCGTCGTGTGAGTCTTAGAGAGTTGGGCTCAATAGGTAAACATATCTCTTCTAAGTCCGTTCATAACATTATGACTGATATTTTGGGCATGAACTGCATCGCCGAACGACTAGTTCCGAAAGAGCTCAATTTTGTCCAAAGAGCATCGAAAGCAGGTCGCTGAAGACATGATTTCCCGAACTTCTATGGATCTCATCTTCATGGAACATCTGGTGGAGTAACTGGCGACGAGACATGGGTTTACGAGTACGACATGTAAACAAGCCAATAATCTTCGGAATGGCGCCTCGAAAACAAGCCGAAACCCAAAAAACCGCATCAAAATCACTCGAAAATCAAGGTCATGCTGGCAGTTTTCTTCGATTACTGTGATGTAGAGCACTCCAAATTTTTTCCAGAGGGACAAACGGTGAATAAGGAATACTATGTAGGCATCATGAGACGTTTACATGAGAATATCCACCGAAAACTGCCAGATTTGTGGAATGACAATTCATGGATTTTGCACCACAATAATGCATCATCGCACAAAGCTATTGTTGTAAAAGAGTTTTTGGTAAAAAACTCAACAAATATCATCGACCAAGCACCGTACTCGCCTGATATGGCTTCGTGTGACTTTTTCCTGTTTCCGAAGTTAAAACTGCCACTTTGAAGGCATTTTGAATCAATTGAGGCCATAAAAGAAAATTTGCTGAAGGAGCTAAAGGCCATACCTCAGTCAGCCTACGAACGATGTATGGAGGATTGGGTCAAGCGGTGGCATAGTTGCATTGCACTCGATGAGTGCCTAAAATCAATTTTAATTGAATAAATTAATTTTTTTGTGTTTTATTTAACAATTTCGGGTACTTTTTACACAGAATATACATTCATTCTTTATGTATTTATATAGAAAATATCAGACTTTGTATTTTATTTATATAAAATAAAATTTTATGTTTTTATATACAACAGGACTATTGTGAATATGCCGGATGATGCATCCGAAAGAATACACTTCATACAGCACAGAAGGATTGCAAAAACACTATAAAAATATTTCATTGCAAGGTGGCAATATAATGCAGTGTTGCGTAGTTTGTTTTGTTAACTAGATTTACTAGTTGACTAAAAAATCGTAGCGTTGGAATCTGCCTGCTGAATGTTTATCAATTGTCCACATCATTATATACATATAATTGGCTAATTTAAAATAATATAATTTCATTAATGAAGCAGTAAAAAATT